GAAACGTCAGATGTCTCTAATTAAAGAACATTTTATGCGTGGTCTTCCCGTTTGTGATTTACCAAAGGATCTTATATTCTGTGTGCTAAATATAGAATACATATTTTATGATATTAAAATATGCATGTATGTTTGTGTGTGCTAGCGATATTAACGGTATGGGCTAGTTTGTACTGATACAGGCTGAAATTAACTCTCGTTTCCGTCTCTATGGGTATTGATTGAAGCCAGTATGCTTTTCAATACAGAGTGGTGATGTGTGACTTTTAGCGCATTACTGTCTAAGCATATTCATGTATCGAAGCCACACTGTTAAACATGCAAGCAACAGTGCTGTGGTTCCGGTATAAACGTAGTCTTAGTCACTTGGATAAAACCACGATATTTCTGTCTTGGACTGAATCAGTTTCAGTCTGTGTTGACGTTGAAGTGATGCGAATTAACTTCAGCCTGTACTGATGTGGACAGATTACCAGTTTGGGCGGTGGCATTAGCATAACATAATGTGTATTATCGTGCGTGTAGCACTGTTAATTCCATTGTATATGTTGTCAAGTTATACTTTGTAATTACGTTATTTGTCGAATATGCATAGCCACTTTTATGTATTTGGAGTAATTGACTATCTAGTGTACAGTTTAAAGTCACAAGGAGGTCATACTGTGATTATACCCTATCTGTTCTCAATAAGGGTCGAATTGTCCGAATCGGATTTGAGGATTTCATGTTTCGTATTCAGGATTAATACCATTCTTTTTCGTACGTTATGATAATGGTCGAAAGACTTAGAGTTGTGTATGCTGACCTAATAGCATTTCACTGCTTTCAGAGTAGTTAAAAGCAGTACAGGATTTTTAACCATTTTTATGGTGGTGACTGATGCAGCATTGATCCATATAGTGTTCTCACTGTTTCACCCCTATCTGTATTCCCAGGTAGGCCATTTTTATGAAGAAGCTTTCCACGTCAACTATGCACAGGGCGATCCAGGGCAGACAAGAGCAGTAGTCTTGTCTGTTGAATTACTGAATATCGACTAAGATTCAGATTCAGTTGTAAAGATTTCATTCCTTTATTCAAAGTATAGTTGGTGTCAGATTCATTCTCCGGTAAAGCAGCAAGTTCGGATTGACGATTTTTTTATGCGCAAGTGGTATGCTACTCTTCTGCACACTACCTGAACTTTTACTCTAGAAGACCTCATAACTAGTAATTTCAATGCCCCCCCATCATGCAAACAGGTATCTTCGCACATTCCCCTTCAGTAACGTCTCAAACAATGGATAATTTCACTTCCATAGAATTGCGTTGAACGTTTTCTGTCCAGGAAACATAAAATGATTTTAGCAGTTGCAAAATAAAAATCATTAAATCAGTGATAAATTTCAGTGTAACGTTTAATGCTTACGTCACTTCTCTAATTCATTCTGCCAGTGGCTTCATTCACGAGGTTTTGGACAAAATATATTCTTTCACGACTCGTATCCACCGTACCAAATATTTTATCGCTCTTTTGAAGATCTTGTTAAAATCGGTAAATAGTGTCATTTTTTATTCAGTTATAGATTTTAGTTCAGTGTCTTGAAAATCTGAAGTAAAGATTTTTATTAATTTAAATGTATACGAAGTAAAGAGGTCAACATAATGGTTTGAATATTTTTAGAGTTTTTGTGTATTACTATAATATTTTGTAATTAGGGGATTAATTAGGGATCCTTAATTAAAGACTAGTTTATGCGTTGTCTTGTCGTGTGTGACTTATCTAAGGATTTTATCACCTCCCCGAAATTATGTGCGATTTTCACTATAATGTTATATTTATTATTTAAATTTGTCTGAAGTTTTTCAGAATCAGTCAGTTATTCTCGTCTCTTCCTAGCAGTTCTTTGTTCTGATCTAAGGTTTTTTAACTAACGCCTAGAATCTTTTCGCATTGAGTTAATAAACACTTATTTTTTTGTTTTTTGTTGGACTCTGGCGCTATTCGATTTCAGTACCATTAGCCTGGAATGTATTATTTTTGAACTAGTTGTTACAGCTGCTTTGCCTACATTGTTTCTTCACATAACAGTAACGGTTCTATGCATAGTTTGTCATTAGTAAGTTTTTAAAGAAGGATTTAAAACTAGTATGACAGTACTTAAAGCAAAACTGAATGGGACGACTAACTTCGAAATTTGTTTAAAAACTGCTTTCCGAAAGAATTTCCACAACTGTTTTTCTTTTGGGTTAGGAGCGTTTAGCATATGGCAATAAGTGCGTTATTGAGCCGTAACGACTGGTATTTTCTGCGTTCCTCTTTTACACACATACGCTCCAGGAAAGGCTTAAATATTAAGGTTTTGTAATGATGTTTTTCTATGGTTCGCACTGTCGATTCCAGAAAACTCACACGAAGTCAGATGTTTTCAGTCAATCTATCTGTGTAGGTCGTAATTAATGGATCATTTCGTTTTAAGGATCCGTCAAAACGTAAACTGGGCAGTGATGGTTTAGTTGAATCGTCTTCACTCTCCGAAGTTGTTGGTGTTCATCGTAACGACAGCTCTTCTACCGCTGTTCAGCCACTGCCCCGTGTTTCGGACGTTTCCGGTCAGAAACACGCGACGTTGTCGTCAGCCGCTGCTTTGCCGAGCCGCACCGTTAATTCGGCCCGAGCTGAAGGCAGCGTCGATGACGGTATTGTGCGGACATCATAAAGCATGTGCAGCCTATTCTCAACTTGTTCTCATTCTCGGTATGCCAGGTACAGGCAGCGATGAAAAGCAGAGCGCAACACCGCAGACACCGAAGTCTAAGAAGCGCTTGCGAAGCACCGGTAGCTCTAGGAAAGGGAAACGTCGGTCATCTGTTACTCAGTCCTCAGGTGCTGCTTCAAACTCAATTTTACTAACACACTGCTTTCACGACTCACATTTAAACACGTAGGCTGCATCAGAATAGGCATTTGTGTAAGATTTAGCGAAGGATGGTTTTCTTTGACTGATCACTCATTGTCATGATTTTCATCGAAGGCGCCGTTGTCATGAATGCCAGTACTTTATTTTGCTTGGGGAGTACCAAAAACGTTACACAACGCGACAGCGGCATTTCAGATACACCGTGTAGGGCGCTCATAATAGGAAGACATGACAAAACCACTTCAGTGAACAAATCCGAACGTCTGTCGCAATAATTTCCTCTGTCGTACAGTTCTGTATGTCAGTTCTGGTTGTCCGACGTTAGGGCATCAGTGACATGTACTTCACATAACATTGTTTTCGTGAAACGTTTAATCATCAAAACAAAGCGTTGTTTTCGCCTCGCCTTTATGACATCAAAATTTTAGATGAAGTAAAAAACGTTTTTAAAAAAGGGGACATCGTCTGGGCTACCTGGAAGAAGTATCCGGCCTGGCCGGCAGTGGTAATACAGTTTCGATTATTTGAAGTCGTTGATCGAAACGGCTCAATCTCATGCTTTTTGCACAGGTACTGAACCCACACGTCGGTGATTCGAAGATCAGCATCGTCTGGCTGCCAACCGCTCTCCCACTGCACAAGCCTAAAGGGTAGGTGTCATGAAAGGGCAGTGACGTTTCTTGTCTGCCGCTGTTTTCATTTCTTATATGTTCGTACTTGTAGTTTTACCATGCGCCGAGCGTCCGTTTGCCCGTACCTTTATCACATGGAACCGGAGGTACGATTACTTTTGCTCATCATCAGGTTGCCGCTTCGATGAAAAGCGAATGCTTTTACACTGATGACCAAAGGGATATTGATTTGAATGATGATCGTTTCCATGTTCTCTTTTTTCTTTATTTTTTCTACAGTCCCCGGGAACGTCAGTGAGCTAGTTTATTACAGACTTGTTTACCAGTGTTTATCACGTTTAAGCCGCTGATGTTCCTTCCAGATTTTTACGCGTCCTCTCCAACGCTGTCAGTCTGTCTTTTTTCGACATCTTGCTTGGTATCGTTCCCCATGCATCGCCGGAACATTCGCTGACAAAATCCGTTTGTGCCCGTTTTATTCTTTGCTCTCCCAATTCAGCAGGCGTTGGTGTTCGGTCATTTATTGTGTGCTCCATGCAGTACACTTTACTGATTTAATCGCTGTAAATTCTCTGCCAGAATATACATTTCATTTCCTCGGAGCAGGTCATATTCACTGCCAGGAGAGTTATTCACTTCATTATAAACTGACTAGTACGAATAGTAATTAAAAACAAAGTCAGTCTGTTGCCGGGGCAAAATATTTTATGATCGAAGCCAACGTGTTTCTTTCGTAACCTGCAAAACAGTAATGATCAAGACACGGTACTCATTTGTCAGGGCCAAGTGGGTAGTTGAAGGAATAAAGTTAATGCATTCTACTTAATGAAGCAAAGCAAATTGTTTAAAATATATGAGCAGAAGATACTGAAAGATAATTTTGGTAACGCATAACTCATCCAATACCGTATTTCATGGCATATTGTATCACCTTACTATATCTGGAGCAGGCATTTACATATTCCCCGGCTCCATAGTATTTGAGTACCTGCGGTGCTAGATGCATCTTCTATCATTTTGTCCAGTACAGCCACGTTAAGCTCATGATGTTCCGTCTTTCACCTTATGTTCGTTGTTTACGTTTCAGAAACTGATACTCCTTATATGCTGTTGCATGAACCACAGACTATGTTACTCTGGAGTATATCAGACAGCACATAAGTCCTCCAAGACCAGATAGGTGAGGTGAGATAAAATGGAGAGAAAGAACAACAGAATAAAAAAAGTTGAAAGCAAGAATGGAAACTCGGTATTAAAAACTAAATTGCAACTGTGCGAAAGATCTCTGAAATTTAATTCCTCGATGAAGTAAGCCACAAAAATATTTTACGGCGACGGTTTCGCTTAACACGAAACTGGTAACGCTCTGCAACGGTCTAAGATCTTCACATCGCTTTTATCAGCTATTTACTATGATATTGAAATGATAATGACATAGCACCTGAAAAGTGTTTCCATAACCAAAAAAGTTTCTTTTATCGACAGTTAGTAATATCAAAATTAGTTGTAGTGTTTAATTTGGTGTCAATTTCTCGCTCGAGCGGATTATGCCAGACTGACGATGGAGAGCGTCCTCGGTTTCCAAATTAATTATCTCTATTTTTGTAATACTTTTATTAATTCAATCATACGACTTTTCATTTATATAAATATCTGTTCTTTTAAACTTGATGTAATTGTGCATTATCTTGCCTTTCTTGGCTTATTAAAGTGTCCTAATAATTTATTATGTTCGTTCGCCCCCTCCCACATCCATTCTCTTGAAAACATTATTGCGATTGTCCACCGTACCGCTGAATCGGTACGGATTTTAGTCGAAGTTAAATATTAATGTCTTCGATTGTTCTTACAATTTCAGTGCAATTGGTACAGGGAAGAAGGAGGAAACAACGTATAAGTCTAACAGACACATGGACAGTAGGAAGAACTTACGAAACACTAGGACCATTGCGGGCAACATGAACTAATGGGCTTTCAGGAATTGTGTTCCATATTTCAGGTAGCCACGATAGATTTAAAGCACCGCCATTGTATCGTAAGTTTATATAAGAAAAGGTTTATTCACGTATGTAAAAAAGTCTGCTCTTAGCATACAGCAGTATTTCAATGTAGTACTATGCATAGTGTAACGATAAAGGAAAGTACTCAACGCCAGATACGTTGAGTCTGCAAAATTAGTGCAATGATACGTTTCTGTTCCTGTGAATTTCTAAGTGGCAGAGATAAAGGTTCTGGTATCGACCTGCGGTTAACCTCAGTGCGCGATGGAATGGTGTTGACTTTGCTTATAGCTCGTAAACGCACGGGGAGTCGCCGTTTGAATCCACGTGTCACTGATGTTGACAGACAGTAACAAATTACGCAGTCGCTGCGCTGCTCAGACTATGGACGACGCTACTTGGTCAACGATTTACTGCAGGTCAACCGTACTGACACGAAAAATAAGCACGAATTAGAAAATAAAATCCTTTCCTTGCAGATCAGCAAAGACCACTTGGCCTATATGGCTAATCATTGGTATTAGGTAGCCAAAGACGATGAGACGAACGGTCTCACATAAGTGCCATAAACGTTGAAGATGTACTCGTAAGGAAGTCATTTTGTAGATACAGTATCTAGCACTACGTAGCTCCGCTCAAAATTTCAGAGGCCCCTTGTAACAGAATAATCAATATAAGCAGATCAAACGCTCGAAACTGTTGCCAGTCTCTTTATAGACCTATTCTTACTAGAATTGTGTGACAAATGGGGCCTGTCATAAAGAAGTCATTGCTTCATTTTCGTTTGTTCCATTTACTTTCGAAATCAGCCGAAGCAAATTGATGGTCATTGGTTGTTAATTAATGGGATTCATTGGTCTGAGCGGTCTGAAGGTACATACAGACGGTGTCAGAATCACATTTCCTACCCCGCCAGTGAATCCCTTAATCTTTCGTCTTCATGAAGACGCAGAATATACTAGTCGAAACCTCAGTATTCATAGTTGACATATTGAAACACCTTACTTTCACGTTGCTTCTGTTGCACAGCACCTAGTTATATATTTATATTTGTTAAGTGGATCTACGTGTTCTATTTAATCGCACCGTTATGGATCCTGTTTAATTTCCCCTCCTCCACGCCTCAAGGCAGCAATTGAAATGGACGATGTAGAATCCTTTATTTACCGAGGTGTTTATACGTCGCGCTCCAGCATATCATTATCACATTATCGTAATAATGTGTAATTGAAACTGTGCGATATTATGAAAGATTTTGAGTGACAGTAACCTTCGTTTCATAAATTCTGCTGAACCTGCTTACTGATGATATTCCAGCTGTAACTCGAAACGAAATGAGTCCATACAATCGCTACATAATCATTTAGCCATATCGAGAATATCGAATATTGCTCAGTCTTTGTTCCCTCTTTATCGACGAAAATGCCATTCTTCAAACTGATGGAGTGTCAAAGGTAGAAAGCTTGGGAAACGATCTTAGAATTCTCTAGTTTTCTTATTCTTTAAAGCTGCTGCATGTTCCATATCCCTTTTGTCCGGTCTATGCATGCTTTTCTCGATGTAGACCTTGTTTCGTCCATTGCACCCGATCTGATAAATCATATGTATCTCCGTCGTTCTCTCCGATTGGTGTAGATTGATTTGAGATCCCACATCTTTCTGTTTTTCAATTTTTGTGCATTTGTTAGTTTTATGACGATGTGTTTGTTTTAACGCCTATTGTCGTCATTTTATAGAGATTATCTGATATTTCATCAGATTTGCTGTTAGCTATCATTCAAGCCGACGATATCCTTAAGGACAACACCAATCCTTTTGACTGTAGCCAACCAGATGACGGTAAATACTTTGCTTTTGTATGATGTTGGTTCTACCTTCGGTATTTATTTAAGACAACGTTGAAGGTGAAAGAGGAGATGAAGGAGACACAGACAGTCCGAACTGTTCTTCAGAAAGCGGGAACGATGATCCGCCTTTCGTCACTTCAGATAAGTCCGTGACCCCCAGGAGGTAATTAATAGTACTTATTGCGGGACGATAGTAATTGTGGATATACTTTGGCCAGTACGCGGTTTGCTAACACATAATCAATGCAAACTATTAATACACAGTGCGTTTGAAGTATACCGCTAAATCAGAATCACGTAGAAACGCCATTTTTTCACGGAGACAAAAACAATATAGAAAAGCAAATTGCGTAAGAATAGGAAAAAATGTTAAATTTTGCTTGGTTACATGATTTTCGTCTCTACTCGGCTCTGCTTTATAGGGCTTTAACGGTTGGGGGGGGGAGCTCGTTCACGATTCAACTGCGCCAGTTGACCTCTTGTTCCCACTTTCCTTCACCAGTGAACACGACTCCTAGCTACGTGAAATTATCCACAAGTACTTCACTCTGACCTGAAGCTTCATGGATGTTAGAGTCAGTTGTTCCGCAGCATCTTTCCAACATCGAATTTCTCGGGAAACTTCAGTGCACTGTAGATGCAGTAGAACTTTAAACTGCTTAAATAGGTTTTTTTGATATTTTGTGGCATACAGGCATTAGATCGTTCTGTTTATTAAATTTCTGTTCTAAGATTTTGTTTTGTCAGAACGCTTTTACATATTTACCTTTACGCTGCAGATGTTAATGTACCATTTAATTTGGTTTGCAGAAGTGGCTTTTGAGCAGCTAGGAACGAGAATACCATCTAATTTATTCTAATTTTTATTGTAAAGGGTTACATCCACTGATTTAATATCCCTGAGCGAATCAAGGCGGACCGCAGCCGTAAAGCGCGAATCAGAGAATTTGACCATGTGGCCTGCAGCTTCTGGCAAGACTACACTGGAATCTCCTTGTAGTTCACGGATCAGTGAATCTGTTTCTCAGCTGCGCCTGTGTCTAAGCGCTGAAGAAAATTCCGTGCTGAATTGAATTACTACTTTAATTCAGTCTTTACTTTTAAAATACATGGTCGAACGTCCCCTCCCCTGAAATAATAACTCAAATAAATCACCACGTGCAGTTTTGCTTATTTATGCTTTATTTATTGAATCAATCAGTCGTTGGTTTGTTTTATTCTGTGTGCAGTCGTCCAGCTATCATATGAACACAATCATTTAGCAATGCAAAATACCTGTGCAGAACGTTTGAAAATGCTGGCCTAAAGTTTAAATTTGGTGTCTTAAATTTCAGTTGATCATTTTTAGATCAGCAGCGATGGATAAGCTTGGCCAAAGACTGATCACGTACATTAAGTCTGAAGCTACTCAGGTAAGGCTATAATCTTTAATTTGTGACTGCATTTTGTATACGTTATTATGATTATGACATTCGTGTAAGTTGAGAAGTTTAAAGCGAAAATTTTGTGATCAGTTTGAAGAATATATTCAAAATGATTTGTCGCGCATGTTTTTAACAATGAGGCACCGTTGTATGTCATATCTTGTTGGTAGCTTCATTGTTCGTTAATTTGTGGTCTGGCACTGTCAAAATATTAAAGAAGAGCACTTTTCTGCGGCTATGATTTAAAGCGAAAGTAGAGAATCATCTTGTAGTATTCCTTAAACTATTAAACATCCACGTTTCGTTCCCCTTTGTGTCATAAATCTAAATTGCTGACACACCTGGTTGCACCCCAAGACAAATTTCTCGCTAACCTGGTTATATTTTAATTTACCGGCGTTAATTATACCTGTGTTTCTCTCGCTGCCTAGCTAGGTCAATTGATTCTACTGTCTCCGCTACATCAGAGACAGTGTTTTTCCTAAATTGCATTCTGAGATTTTCAGTAAGGTCAGTGAAGTAGTGAACCTAGTTTCATTTCTCCTAAATACCATCGTAATGTTGACCACCGCATGAATGCGGCGATCAGGAAAATGAAAGACAGTTTGAAATCAGTTCTTTTTACAAAAGCAAAGAAACTGTTTCTGTTTTCCTTATGAAGTGGAATAAGCGAATCGTTCTGTTCCTTTTTTATCAGTAACTTTTCACCCCCCCTGCTCCAAAAGTAAAGGCTGTCAGGGTCAACGCTATAACTGCTTTGGATGAACGATTTGGTTTTATGCGCATGTGTTAAATTAAATTAATTCACGCGTAATGCTTAATTTTGTGGATGAAACCGTACATTAATATTTTTGTTCGTGAACTGTATATTTTAAACTGTATTCTGAATTGATCAACAAAATAGTTTTAAATTTATCCTTCACTTGATTTGTCATCGTAGTAGCGCTCCACGAACGCAAGTCGATGCACTTCCACTGGTCTCTCTTCAATATTTTGTGGCGAGTAATTTTTCGCTTGCCCATTCAGTGTGTCGGTCATCGTGAACGTTTGCCTCCGTGAGCTTTCTCCCAGTTTTGCTCCTAGTGGCCCTGCTCTGGTCTCATCCTCGACCAGCTGAAACTTATTATGCTCAAACTCACTTTTGAAATTCTTTAATCAGTTGATTGGACGCAGTCACGGTAATCTCCAACTTTATCACTTTTTTCGAAGTTGCAGTCTTAATCTCACATCTGAACACTGCCAAAACGCTATATCTTTCACTTGTATTTACTTTAACCCTTACGTCCTTATCTAAATTGGTGTGACAAAACAGCGTGTTAAAATTAAAGCTCATATAAATGAACATATGGCTGCTTTCGAGTATGAATGTGAAGAAACTTCTGCTATCATAAGATTTGCTATTGACAACCTACGCCATACTGATATCAAGGATATGAAAATCTTAAACCGTGAAAATTACCATTGCAAGTGATCTCATGATTCTCGAATCTACCCTCAGGGTATTTGGTGCACCCGATGTAAAACGAGGAACTAAGCTTAAATGATCTTTCACTTAGTTGGAATCTCATCCTCAATGATTTTTTTACTAACTGTCCTTTTGTGTTGTTTTTTGTTTTTTCGTTTATTTGCTCGTTTTTCATTCGTTTCATCTTTGATTTCTTATGCTGTTCATTTTTTCATGCTTATTTTGTATATTTTCGTCACAGTGCTTTGTACATGCTGACCCTTCTTATCCGTGATTACGATGTTTTTTGTAAACTATGAATTTGTAATGAATAAGAGATATTGTAACGCTCCAAAGGCTTCACTTAATAATTAGTTTCCTAACATTTACCTTTTTTGGTAAATTTAATATTTTCACATTTAATTTCAAATCTGTATATAAAGTTTAATTGTAACAATTTTCCCGAAGTCCGCAACGCCTTTAAGTGACGTTTATTTTCTAGCTGTTATGAAGTACGATATTTTTACTAATTCAGTGTTGGTATTTTTCGTGTTAAGCAGGCGAATCACGTCACCGCAACCTTTTTCACAAGTATTATGTTACTGTGCATTTGATTGTGTCTAACTTGTGAAAGATTGCGTTGCGTTCAAAATGTC